GGGATCACAATGTGGCCATCACACGGGTTATTTTAGAGAATTATCCCAATAGTACCATGCCCATTCCAGTTTTCCATGCGGAATTACTTGCCTCGTAGCCTGAAGATGTCACGACAACTACTGCACAACACAAAGGTAAAGCACCTACGAGTGAACCTACTCAAACTGAATCTTTCCATGGATCTTCAGATTCGGACGAGTCTATCTTTGAACTAATGGTGTCGCAACCAACCGCACCATCAAAGCGTAAAGATTCCACCATCGAAGTGGTAGAACACGAGATTCAACCAAACAATGAGGTTGAGGACATAAGGGTTTAGAATGCACCACCAGTAACACGCTTTCGACCACCGTGAGCTAGCAAACAAATCAAGCATTTGACTCAAAGGAAACTCATCATTCAAGGTGACGACCTTTCTAATTAACTCATTCTCTTTACATGCATTGAGGACAATGCACATCTCAGGTTTGGGGGTGTTGTTCTTTTTGTCATATTGCATTTGTCATGTCATGTCTCGTGTTTTGCATTGTTGTTGTTGTTCAGTCAAACTTTCCATGACATTTAGATAGACAAATAATTGTTGAGATTTTGCACTTACCTATGTTGAGATAATTGCCGATAACATTTTTAATGCCGAGAATAATAAGACTTAGAGATAATTTGAGATTGCCTTAATGATTCTTGTGATGCTATAAAATTTATTGAATGTCGTGTTTGCTTGACTTATGGGTATTTTGGCGAATAGTTAGTAATCTTACATTTTTTAAGTTCTGTGTGAATTGCTAGAGGTTCCCAACTGGCTCTTGCTAAATAAATTCATCACATCAATCTTTTAGCTATAAAATACTCTGTTGCTAAGGCAAGTTTAGTACGCTTAGTGAATAATAAGTAAGAAAGATAGTCGTGAATAGCATGAGTCAATGAAAGTCTTCACGGGATGCCTCTATCTTAAAGGCTAGGGGATTCGTTGTTGACATCATCTTACTACGCAAGTACTCACATGTAGTTGTGATAAGATGAAGCTCTAGTTATGCTAAATAATAATTGTTGTGACATCTTTTGCTTTATTAATTAATTTGTTAATTGTGATATTCTATGCAAATACCCCTGGTGGTGAACCTTCTCGACTAAGAGCACAGACATACACGAGCATCATAAGTTGATTTGAGTTGATTTCTTGTTGTCTTGAGGTTTGAAAGTATTTGACAGAAAATTGCTAAGGTTTTGAGGTAACAGGAGCAAAGAAAATGTAAGAGTGATGTTGTATTAATTGTTGTGAGAAAGTGGCATGCATTGTCTGAGGACTAGCAATAGTTTGAGTTTGGGGGTGTGATAAGTGTATGAAAGTACTATATTTTCTACCCTTTTTCTCATAATTATTGCTAGATTTAGGCTCATTTTAGTTGCATTATTAGTCACTCATGCATGATTCCATTGTTTCATTCACTGTTAAGTTTGATATTACATTCTGGTTGGTTTTTGTGGAAAAGACGTTGTTGGTGTGTGTTAATTTGTGCATGTTAGAGATTGCCTTTGGAAAGCAGAAATTTTCGTGGCATTGGAAGTTGATTTCTAAAGGGTTTGTCAAGTCGATTATCGATGATGACTAGATAAGTCCATCTCATTAAAGATAAGCACGACAAACAAGGGATAAGTCCTAAAAATTTGGATATCCAAGCAGAGTTTAAGAAGGTAAATAAGTATGAATTGCAAGGATTTTTAGGATAAAGATAAAAGAGTTTTATTATCTATTTTATTCCAACAAAAACTCATCCTCATCAACAACTAATTCGATCTAAACATCTTCTATAAATAACGATCAAATCGCAATCTGCAAAAGGGGTTGACTAGAGAGAAAAGCTAAGAGCTGCTCACACAACTTCTTCCTTGTTTCTATTCAATTCATTTTAGGGATATTTATGTCGTATTGTTTTTGTACCATCCATGAACTAAACTAAATTGACTTGGGTTTTGGGTTTTTACGGTTGTGAAAATGTTTGGATTTGTTTAAGTTCATTGATTGCAGTTTAAGTTTGAAGTTTCTTCATTCTTGATTCTTAATTTGATTTCGATGAATTAGGAGAGGATCTCAAGAATTTTCCATTTATCTAATATTGGGAGAGTTAGATTCAAGAAACAAATGAGCATGATCTTCGTTCTAACGAACATTGGTGAAGGTTAATCCATCTTTGGGATAAGATTTGGATTTCAATAGCTAAAAGAAGTGCAAGATCAGTTGTTGTTCACCCATGGTTAACGCAGGGATGTATCACAAAGGCATGCACAATTGACAAATTCTTCGGGTTAAGGATAACAACAAGGAATTTAAGAACGCTTCACCAAGCTTTGAAGGGAGGAACCCAATTGCTACAACAATTGAATCATTCTCAGTTGTCACGGCAAACGAGTTGCCTCTGCAAGCTCAGACTATCCATACAGTCATCATACAATAATTCACGATAACCCGACCTGGTCTCATATTCAATCTTAATATTTTTTTTATTTACTTGCACCTTCATTTTACTCGTTAATTTGAACTTCTACTATCAGCAATTTATTTTCTTTTACAGTGCAAGGAGTTAGAACATAGAGTTACATCAATCCTTGTGGATATGATATATTCTATACTATACTTGCGACATGTATAGTTGCACTAATTGCGAAGCACTCAAAACATGCAATAAATATCTAAGTAGATTTTTTAATATTTTATTATAAATTTAATATTTTATTAAATTTTAACTTTATTTAAATTAATTTATTATTTAAAATAACTTTAATCGTTTGTATTAAAGTGAATTCTCTTTATTTGATATTTGTGTTTCATGTTAATTTGTGTTTGTAAAAAAGTGTAAAAATTTCTTTTAAACTTAACTATAATATATCATCTAAATGATGATAATTAAAGTTAATCATATAAAATAAAATGTTTTGCGGTAACTTGACATTATAATACTTCATATAAAATAATTTCTATTTTTTTTTAAAAAATTTATTTGATCAAATATGGAGTAGATCTTTTAAATAAGTGAAACTTAATATTAAACCATTAAATTATTATCAAATGTAGTACTGATGGTTATGAAACTATTATCAAAGATGGTGATTAACTAGAAATATAATGCAAAAAGAGAATAAAATATGCATCATTCATCATATTGTTAAAAAATATAATAACAATAAATTATTCAATCATGTTTACTCATTTATCGGGTTAAAATAGGGTCAATGTTCGGTTCGGATTGAATTTGGATAAATCAAATCCGGATTACTTTTGGTTTAGGTTGTTTTCTGTTCGGATTATTTTCGGTTCAGACTACTTTTGGTTCAGGTTAATTTCGATTCGAGTTAAACAAGGTTCGATTTGCTTTCGAATCGGGTTAATTTCGATTCAGATTGTTTTCGATTTAGATCAAATTGGATATGGGTACATATTGGCTCAACTAAAATTTGGATCGGTTTTGGTTCGATTTTCGGATCAAGTTCAATCATCATATTCAGGTCTATATATCAGGTATCGGGTCAAGGTAAATTGGTTCGGGTAATCGGGTTAGATTAAGTTTGCCAAGTCTACTCTAAATTAGCGTACATTAATTATATGGGTAAAGTACATAATTGTCCCCTGACTATATGATATTGGTTTATTAAGTCTCTTGACTATTAAACGTTGTAAAATGATCATTCGACTATAAAATGTTATTCTTTAAGTTGTTCGACTATTAAAATTAATAAAAGGTCACCCGACTATTTATTATGTTCCAAACTCGCCATTTTTCGTTAAAAAAATTGGTGGTTGTCTAAGTTGGATGTTAACATGATGACTAGGTTATGATAGTCATTTGAGATTCTGGGATCATATTTAATTATATCACAGTTAGCAGTTTAACGTTCAGCTCAGAATATCATCAAATTTTTAACGGAAAAGGACAAGTTTGAAACATAATGAATAGTCGGTGACCATTTGATAACTTTTAATCATCGAAGATTCAATAAATCAACACTCTATAGTAGGATGCTCATTTTCTAATTTTTAATAGTCGGACTTTACCCTAATTATATTTGATATGTTACTATTATAACACGAGGATGTGTACTTTTTTTTTATTTTTATGGGTTTTGAAATTTAGATAATGAATAAATATTATACTAAAAATTAATTATAATTTATTTATATTTTAACATCTTTAATATTCAATCTATATTTGGAATTCCTGATTATATGCGTATTACTTTTTACAATTATTCTCATTTTATTTAAAAGTTGGCTTATTTTTTGATTTGTTGAATGTAAATACATTATTATTCATTAATATTGAATTCAGGTCAAAATTTTCTGTTAATCTGTATATTATGCATAAGTTGTGTATCTTGTTTTAATATAGTCATTTCTAATCTATATACTTCTCAAATTTTGAAATTTTAGTCTTCATCTAACTCAAACAGTAATCATTAAATATGTCAAATCATATTCTATTATCAATTATTGTATTATGTTTAAGTTATTGATTTAATTTTTGTTTTCTAATTTGATCATTCAAATCTTGTAATTTTATCAAATTGTCAATGTTAAAAATTAAAATTAAAAATATGATAAATTAAAGTATAAAGACCAAATTTATAATTTAAGTATAGTGTATGAGCTAATGATAAAATACCTTAAAGTTAACATGCAGCATGCGATAAGAAAGCTGTTTCTTTATGATCGTTTTACGAGTCCAATTCGTGCACAAGAAGATAGAAGGCCGATTAGTGTTCCCAGGCAGCACATTGGGCGACTACATCATCTGGCCCTCTTCCTCTAAGGCAAGACTCGCTCCGCCTGCTAATTCTCCAACCCTCAATTCTTTGCAATATGAATTCAATTCATTGTAACTATGTTTCTCTGTATTATAAGAAAAACGATCAGGGTTTTATGGGAAACCTTCGTAACGGCTTCCCAGTCGAACCCTGCTTTGCTTACAATTCCCCATATCTGTCCCTCTCTTGAAACGCTTCAATCTGGATTCACAACCGATGATTTTTGTTATTTGATGCAGTTTTCAAGCGCAAATTAGATTGTGCCTGGAAATTATTCTGGGTAATTACGAGGAAATTCTTTAACGCCTTCACGTCACAATATGAGCATCGAGCCGTTTAACAGGTTTGTCTCTTTTTACTGCAGAAACGGCGCAATAGATGGTATATAAATGCTGGGTTAATTAGTTTTCCTGTTTTATCATTTATGTCTTCAGTTTTGAAATTGAAAATGGACAAAAATAACAGGTTGGTGAAGCTTACAGCTCGAGCTTTTTATGATAATGTGACAACGAAAGGAGATAACCAGCCAAAGATGGGTCGTGGTGATAATAGAGGGGTCGCTGTTGTAGTTCTTGATGCTCTTACAAGGTGATGTTTCCTTATTAGTCTCTTGGAAGCAACTAAAAATGGTTTTCTTTTCAATAACAAGGGCATAAAGAAAGGGGTAAAGATGGTTTTGTTTGTAAGAGAAATGAAAGGTAGCATTGAAGTTTCCCTTTTAAGTGCAATCAAGACATATTGAATTGAAAATATAATTTTTTGATCCATTTTCATTATTTAAATATGAATGGCAGAAGAGAATTTTCGGTAAACTTGTGAACTTTTCTGGAAATAAAGCACATTTAGAAGCACTGAAAAATGAGAATCTTGGAATTTGAAATGTGAGGCATTGGAGAATATTTTATAATTTGTATAATATAGTGAGACTGAAGCGTTAGACTATGATGAGAACTTTGGTAAGTGTTTTTTTATCAGTTCAACTAGAAGTTTGTCATAGACAATTAGTAGTAACTAGTATGATATATTTGGCTATGTCGTGATGCCTAATATTATATATATTCAAGGATAGTTTCCTGTTGCAGGCTAAATATGCCTGCTTGTTTGTGCTGTTCCTGCCCTCGCTTACAATTTGCTAGTCGCATTTTTCTGTTATTACAATTCACATTTTTTTGCTTTCATTTCTAGGAGACAATGGGTTAGGGAAGAAGATTTAGCAAAGGAGTTGAAACTACATTCAAAGCAACTTCGGAGGACTCTACGGCTATTTGAGGAAGAAAAAATAATCACACGAGATCATAGGAAAGAGGTCAAATCTGATATTGTCCACTTTTCTCTTCCCCTATACTCATGTTTCTAAGTTACATCTGCTTAGTTTTTTATATGTAAGGTTTTCTGTGTATTTTTTTCTGAATCATCCCCGTCTTTTTACCTATTAACGATTAACCATCATACTAAGCATATCAAATGCTTGAATCTTACTTTCTTTTATGTAGTTTTCTGTTTAAGATGTACCTTATTTTTGCATAGAATTGAGGCATAGTGGTGGTCTTAATGGCCATCTGGTTTCCATTTATTTTTAAAAGGTTTATTTGTCCATTAAGAGTTGTGAACAAATTCTTAGTTTATTGATTTGCTTGCATTCTGACGTTTGATTTGGTTACAGACGGCTAAAGGAGCAAAGATATATAGTGCTGCAGTTGCAGCAACCGTTGATGGTCAACCAGGAGGGAAAGAGGGAGAGGAGAAGGTTAAATTACACACTCACTCTTACTGTTGTCTGGATTATGCACAGGTAGCTATTTTATTTCTTCCTTTTCTTTGCATTCTCCAATTGTGATATGCATGTTTGGCTTCTGACTCTGAAAATCTCTGAAGCAATGTGTTCTGTAGATATATGATGTTGTTAGGTATAGATTGCACCGTATGAAGAAGAAACTAAAGGATGAACTTGAGGACAAGAATACTGTTCAGGAGTATGTGTGCCCTGGCTGTGGGAAAAGGTTTCTGACACTGCCTTTCCTTCCTCCTCTTTTCTTCTTTCCCAGGGTTATTTGAGATGCTTATAGGACTGTTCAATTTGTAATTTTGAAAAATTTATGGTTTCGTGTATATCATGTTTTCAGATACAATGCTTTAGACGCATTGCGATTGATTTCCTTGGAGGATGATTATTTTCATTGTGAAAGATGTAACGGAGAATTGGTGGCAGAGAGTGACAAGTTAGCAGCACAAGATGTAGGAGAGGGAGATGACAAAGCAAGACGACGGCGTCGTGAAAAATTGAAGGATTTGCTTCAGAAAATGGATGTATGTTTTCTTTTAAAGTTCCTTTTCATTACCTTATTTTGCATATTCTTTTCTAGTTAATATATCACATGAATCTACTGACATGACAAAGTAAATCTCTTTACAAGAAAACAAAATTCGTAGCATGTTCACGGATTTTAAATAAAATTTATATTGTGAAATGATGTCATCCGCATATGATTCGTTTATACTTGCTGTAGTTGTTTTTGATGTCATTAGAGTTGATTACAGGTTGAATTATTAACTTTGGGTCAAACCTCATGAGGTCCTCTTATATTCAGCTTAATTCTTTGTCCTTGGCTTCCAAATGTCAATGAATCTAGTGCTTCATGCAAATTCTTCTTGAAAGGGAAAAAAGGGAACTTATTATCAAAATTCTTCTTGGAAGGGGAAAAAAGGCAGTTAATTTTCAAAATTCTTGATTTTATGATATGTAGAGGCTATTGAATTAATTTTCAAAATTCTTGATTTTATGATATGTAGAGGCTATTGAATTTGAAATGTTTGTGGCTCTAGAAAAACAAAGTTTGAAGACAATTTTTTTCTTAGTTTAATGTCATTCCTATAAGGTCAACTTACTCATCTAGTATATCACCTTTTATTTATTGCTGTCAACTTGATTTTATTATAAAACAGTGAGTAAAATTTAATCTATTGATAAATGTGCTCCTATCAAAGAATCAAAAGAAATTTAATCCAAACATTGATGTTCAGTACATCATGAAGAGGTTGGGGAAAATGATCACAAAATTGCCATGTCCTCAGATAGCTCATCTCTTTCACCGTATCAAAATTTCTGTATTAAATGGCAGTGACAACGAATTTTGATCATCACCTGAATCCTTTCCAACTCCATTGTATTTAACTTATTTGTTTTAAGGTACATGTTCAAAGAAATATGCAAAGCAAATGTTGCTTTCATTCTTTTCATTGTCTTTGGATGCCATTTTAAGAGTAAACAATGAAATGACTGCAGGTACAACTTAAACCGTTAATTGAACAACTCAACAGGGTAAAAGATATGCCTATTCCAGAATTTGGAACTCTCCAAGCATGGGAAGCTCGAGCAGGTGCTGCTGGGCGTGGTTTTGGTGATGCCAGTTCTAATGATCCTTCAAAAGCTCAGGGTTATGGTGGAACACCCATGCCATTTCTTGGGGAGACAAAGGTAAGATTTTCTTTAACTGTTTTTGCCTTTGTTGTCTACTATGAAGTGCAGCTGCTTAAAATTTATTAATAATTATGTAGTATTGATGCTAAACTTTGGCATATTACTTGCGTAAATTATTGTTACTTTAATTTTCTAGACATTTTCGTTCTTTGAATGAGTATTTGCTGGTCATGTTTCCATATTTTTGGAAGTTCAAATTTGATCAGAACTTTAAGGCATTGTTAGTTTATCTAAAGGCGCTGGAGTTTGGATTTTCTGTTATTATTTTTTACAAGAGATTTGCCTCAACAGTGTTGAGCATGCCATTTCTTAACTTCAAGTATTGGATATTCTACCATCAAGTTGGATTGTTATTAAAGCTTTTTTCCCCTTGACAGGTTGAAGTTGCTTTTTCTGGTCTTGATAGCAAGGAAGATGTCAAAACCGAAAGTGCAAGCACATCCTTGAAAGTTTTGCCACCTTGGATGATAAAGCAAGGAATGAACCTGACAAAGGAACAACGTGGAGAGGTCAAGCAGGAGGATTCAAAGACGGATGGCAGTTCAACACAACCAGATTTTAAAGATGACAAAAAGTTGGCCGCAGAAAATGATGATAAGAAGAATATACAGGTATGTACAATTAGATGGATTATTATTCTTTCCTTCATCTTGTCTATGCCATATAGTTCTTTGACTCATTTTTCTTTTGCTTTTCCTGTCTTAGAAGTTTTAAATTTACAAGAATTGACATTCTTTTTCTCCCCATTTTATATTGGAAGGACGAGTATCTTAAAGCTTATTATGCTGCTCTGTATAAGAAACAACAAGAACTAGAAGAAGTCGCTAATAAACAAGACGAATTGTCAGATATTCCTCTGGAAACTGGTCTTTCTGACTCTTCCGAACGACAAGTTGGCATGAAAGCTAAACGTGAAGATGATGATGAGGCAGATGATGATATTAATTGGGAAGAAGATCTCATTGCAGGTAGGCACTGGTTTTTATTTTTCATTCAGAGTATAACTTGGTTTCTCTTTGATGACCATGAAAACTGTTCAAAATTAAATGTTCAAAATTTCTTAAGATTTTCAAATGCTTGGTTTTTCTTTCATGTCACTAAAGATTTTAAAAAATATATTTAATATGTAAACAAGCTATGAAAAACCTTGCAAGGGAACTTACTCATGAATCAAGTTAATGCAACTACTTTAATGTTTTATCTATCATTGTGTTTGATCTTGGACCATCAATAATGATTTTCTTCCCGAGTTTGGCTGTTCTATGGATTCAATTACCTCTATCATGTAAAGTATTACTTTCGGAAATTTTGTTCTTATTTGTAGCGACAAGTATATGTCTCATGATCAAGGATTTTAGAGACCTTTTGCTAATAAGCAAGTTGATACAAGTTCAATATTCATTCACCATGTATCTTATTGATAATTACAAGTTCATTATGATTATGATGTTGGTGTTTTCCTAAATAAATATCTTCATATGGTTTCAGGCAATACAACCGATGATTTCAAGGTCAATGACCTGAATGATGAAGCGGAAGCATCTGGCGGCGGTGATGATGATGATGATATAGATTGGGAGGAAGGCTGAGAGAATGCATACACATAAATGGTTCAAAATACATTGATCTCCCCAGCATTACTTCGCAATGGTAACCGATAGTGTAAACATCGGTCCCTATTATTCATTTCTTCTTAAGCTACTTCAAGATCTGAAGTCCCTGCAACTGCTTATTGGTATTAGTTTCATTTTTTTTCATCCCTTGACTCTGTTCCAACAGTTGCAGTGGGAAAATAAGTTGATTTTGGTGGTTTTGAAAATGGATTTTGACAAGCTAGCATTGTGTACTAAACTGTAGACAAAAGCAAGTGGTGTTTAGCAAATACATTTGAACATATAATTTTTGTGTCAGTTTTTTTTATTTGATGTAGCTTGTGCTTAACCAAGAAAATCAAAAGTGTTAATTTGTATATCGTCGCTCAGACATGGATTGAGGGAAGACCAAGTGGCGACAATCACCACCTCTAAAATTTTCAAATTATCATATTTTTAGATATTTTTTATATTTTATATTAAAGCGTAATTATAAAATAAGTACTTAAATTATAGTATTTTTCACAAATAGGTGTCTAAATTATTTTTTGAATGATCATAGTGCCTAACGTTACAAACGTTATCACTTTAGGTGCTCGGTCGTAAACAACGTTGATTTACTTTCGTCAAGTGATACGTGTCACATTCTGGTAACTTGGAAATTTATTTATTTTTTAAAAAATTAAAAAAATTATATTTATAAAATACCTTAATTTTTATTAAATTACAAAAAAATCCCAAAATCCCTATGTAACACCCAAATCCGATCTGACCGAAGTCTAACGGATTTAGATATTACACGGGACTACCAGGGTGGCTAACCAAAAAAATTTCTTTAAAAACATTTAAAATTCATAAATTAAAGCGTCCAATCGAGTGATGAAATAGACAAAATAATTAAGTTTACGGAATGGAGAGCTCCCAAAAATAAATTTCAAATACAAATAAGTCATCAAGAGTTACGACTCGATTTAGACAAAGGGTTCATGAAATACATGCCCACTAAGAAAATCAAGACGTATTATGCAGTATGTTGATATCCGAAATCCCACAGTCTAGCGACAAGATCTCGAACCATCATCTATTGACATGCGAACGAAAATAATTCTGAACGCTGAGCTATGAGCCCAATGCCAAATAAACAACTCTACTATACCACATGCATCCATTAGCCACGAATGCTTAACAGGTTAAGTCATGTTGCAACGAATGCACTGAGCATAAATCATAGCAAAGTCTCGAGCACCAACACAACATATAAGTACGTATTATGGTATTTTCATCTTATCACGGAAGTGCCATAGCACTAATACTAAAGTACCTTAGTAATGATTCCAAAGTGCCTTAGCACTGATGGAGATAATTTGGATATCTCTATTCTCAATCATAATTCGAACATGCTTACGTTCAAGTGATTTGGATGTCCTCGTCGTTTCCCGAGTGACAAACAAAGGCTAGTATTATGCCACATTAATATTTTTTCTCGTTTTAACGATTATTATTGATATTCTCAATTTTAGTCTTATTAAAGAAGTCTCGATGCCTTCTTAACCCCATTTTCAAGCTCTTGAAACTAATTGAGTTTTCTACCCAAACTAGGATGATCGTTTCAATATTGGGCCTGGTAATATTGATATTGGCATTGTGGTATCGATATTGCCCCAAGTATCGATACCAAAATTAGCTTCAATGTTTTGGAAAATTTCTTGGTATCGATACTCTCGCTTGGGAGTATCGATACTACTCGGGTATTGATACCGTAAATTGCTTCGATATTTCAAAATAATTCTTAGTATTGATACTCTACCCCTGGTATTAATACTCCCATGAGTACCTATACAAAAAATGGCTATTTGAATTTGCTAAGTGTCCATAGTATCGATAGTTCCCTCACCAGTATCGATATTCACCCTGAAGTACTGATACCCAATGAATGAGTATCGATATTACTAGCCTAAAACTCCTTCCTTGAGGTTACGAAGAACAATATCGATACTGTTCATCCAATTTCGATACCCCTGCCTAGAAATGCCATGTTTAGGCAAGGAAATGGTTCCCAAAAACCCCTCACAAGCCTCTCTAAGGCTCTTAAATGTTTATTAAGTTTTATGAGAGTTCATAGCATCATATTAGGCAATTCCAACACAATATAAAGAACTAAACAACACATTTTTTTCTCAAAACCCACAAAGACCCATATTTGTACCCATGAACACAACAAGCAAGCAAACATAGTCTAATGACCTACATGCAGTAGAGGGGAGTTAGTTATTTGTTACCTCAACACCAGCTGATGAAAAGGGTTCCCAAGATCACCCAAGCACCAACTTTTCATTGTTCTTGGCCTTTGATCTTTCTTCCAACTCTCTCACTAACCACAAGCAAATAAGATGATTACAATCTTATTTAAAGACTCTAAGTGAGTAGAAACATGATTCTAAACACTTATAAATATATTAAGAACACTCATAAACCCTAAAACCAAAACCTCTCTAAAACCTCAATTTTGGTCACTATGGTAAAACCTTGAGATTTGGGTTAGAAATGAAGCTCTAGGGAGGAGATTACCTTTCTTACCTTCACAATTTCGTGCTAAGAACGTGGGACAACAATTTTTTCACCTTTGGGAGATTTGGAGAAAAAGAAGAAAGTAGAAAAGATGATGAATAAGAAGACAAGGAAAAGACCTCCTTCCCAACGTGTGACATATGCACAATTAAAGGGATCAACTTTTGTTTCAAACTATGGATAAATTGCTCCCTTGGTCCTCCTTATTTTAACCCTAATTTAAAAATAATTTTTTAACACATCATGGGCTTCACCACAAGCCAAATTATCTTTCTTCTTAACTCAATTGTTTAAATTAGGCTTACCTAAGCACTCCAAGCCCAACATTATACCCGAAACTACTAACCCGATTTTCGGGGTGTTACAACTCTCCTCTCCTAAATAGAATTTTGTCCTCGAAATTTACCTGATCTGAATAAGTGCGGATACTGTAGTTGCATAGCTTTTTCAATTTCCCAAGTCGCTTCCTCAACGCCATGATTCCTCCATAGGACCTTAACTAGCAGAATCTTCTTGTTCCATAGTTCCTTGACCTATCGGTCCAAAATTCTCAATGGCTCCTCAACATAGGACATATCTTGACTCACTTCAATCTGTTCTAATGGAATATCATGGAATGGGTCTGAGCGATATCTCACGCGACAAAGTTAGACTATATGCTATGGGACCAACCCTCTCGAGGATCTCATAAAGTCCAATGAAGCACATAGTTAATTTTTCTTTTTGCCCAAATAAGAAGACTTATTTAATAATTAAGCCTTCTATTAATAATATGCTTTCGTCTCTAAAATTTTATAAATTTATCCCGTCTTAAAATTTTAAAAATTTACCCTTAATATAAAATTATGTGTCCGTTTTTATCTATGTTCGCAAATGGCAAGGAGACAATTATCTTCGTTGCAATGAAGAATGGTTCACCATAGGCATGGGAGTGCGGTCTTTGAAAGCTAAATAAATCAATGAAGTAACCGAGTATTGTTAAAACCGAAATAACCAAACTGAACTTCTTCACTTTGATTGGTTTTTCTTTTGGCTTAAAAGTAAAAATAAGTAATTAAATTATTATTATTATTTTGTTTAGGTACTTAAATTATTTTTTGGTCAAATTAAGTATTTAAATTATTACATTTAATTATTTTAAGTTTTAATATTCTTTTAATTAGAAAATATTTTTGACTAATAAGATGTTAACATGTCATACAAAATTAAATACTTGTATTGATAAAAAAAATATTTTAGGGGTTTAAAGTAAAAAAGCATATAGTTTAGGGATTTATTTTGAACAAAAAATAGTTAAGATACTTAAAGTGACTACATATAATAGTTTAAGTTTCTTTTTGTTGTTACAATTTTTGATTTATTTTTCAAATAAAAAGATAAATGCCAGAATAATTATAACTTTTTTAAAGATACTTATCATGCAAATGTTTATTGAGTAGTTTTATTGTCCCAAAAAAAACAATATCTATACCTTATATTGAAAAATAATTTCTTAATGGGGTTAAAATTGAAACGTGGGACACATCTTGAAAAACCTAAAACCTAATTTTCTTTTATTGATACGTCGCTCATCTCTTTTCTTTTTCGTCTTTGTTGATCAGCAGTGACACTAACTTTAATGTTTGTTGCTGACCGTCGGGTGCCGTCACTGGTATTCATTATTTTCTTTTTCTTTTTTATATTGTATTTTTATTTTCTTTTGTTTTTTTTATTTTCAAGAAGTTTACATGTGTTGCACGTTTTCATCTTTCATTATGGCACGCTTTCTTATACTTTTTGGCATGTTTTTCGGTTCTTTGGCCATTTTTTATTTATTTTTTCTAAGGGTTGATATGACATCGCCACGACTGATCAAGATGTCGCTTATATGATATTTTGTGATCTTTCCTGCTTTAGACCCTCAGATTGGATTCGGATACCTGATTTGTGTTCGTGATAACTTTTCACGACGTTCGAGACTGATTTGTGATTTATTGGTGGTCTGTCAATAGTTTGATCACCTTTTGTAGTTCGTTTGCCAATGCGATCAGATCTGTTTGTATCTAACTTTGTTCGAGTTTTTTGGTTATATTTAATCTTTTCTTGTATGATTCTTATGTGATCTTTATTTCAATGATTATAGGAAATTTTCCTAATTATGTGCTTAATTTACAATTGTGATTGTAAATATTTATTGTAATTTGGGATATTTTTTATTTTAAATAAAATTAGTTGCTTTTATTAAAAAATGAAGTTGGAAATCCTTTTCTAAAAACAATTAAGTTTTGTAGTTTTAAATTATTTTCTTAATTTTCTTAATTTTAGGTTTTCAGATTTATTGTCTTTTTCAATTATTATTTTATGTTTTTATTCAAAATTTTAAAAACAACAACATCGAAGTTTTAGATTTGTTTTAAGGTACCGTGACCTCACATCACAAGTGGGTTCATAATAAAATCAAACACGATATATTAAGATTGTCGTAAC